ATTTTGATCACCTTCCACTACAAGAAAAACTGTTTATAGCCATAACATAGCTACAACAGTTTGCTCTTTCTTAGTGATGGATCTATTGTTCTTGGTTTCAGATATGTCTTCTCTTTGCTCTTTCTTAGTTTAATCCTTGTTTGATTTCGATTTTCGTAGACTTCGTAATGAGAAAGTTTGAAATGTTTTATTCTGCAGAGACTTAACACGGAGTTTGAAATGTTTTAAGGCCCGATTTCTGTGAGATGATACTATCAGAGGTAAATAATAAGTTAATAACCCATCATTTATTATCTGCTGTGCTCCTACCTTAATGCTTTGTTCATGTGTTGTTGTTTAATTATTTTCAATCTCTTGTTGTCTTTTCAGATGAATCTCCGTGGTCCATCTCAGAGAATTGTCCGGACTCGGCAAGCTCGTTTGCCTGCTGGAGCAATAAGATCAGCCAATTCCAGCACTTCACGGCATCCCCTTCCTAACCAAGTTTCGTAACCAGAGCACTCCATAATCCATTAGAATCCATATTGGTTTAGCTTCGTAACTCTTTAGCTAAGTTATCTTCGTGTATTACCTTATTAGAATCCATATTTTAAGTTAGGTCATGAATCTCTTGACTTTTGTGTGTTTGTAATCTATAATCATAAGTCTCCTACTTTTATATATTGTATTTATTATCTTATAAATTGGAGTATTAAATATTTTATATTAAGGTTAATATATTTTAAATAAATCATTTGGTTTCAATTATTTTTTTCTATTTAGAATTGTTAATTAATTACAACATTTTCATAGTTCTTTGCGGCTAAAAGCAAAAACTGATTGTGGAAATTTGTATCTTATAGCAACGAATTAATTTGTAGTTATCTTGTAACTATTATAGACACAAGTTTAGTTGTGGCAATTTGTGTATTTTAGCCACAACAATCGTTATGGATACTTGTGGATAATAGTTACGACTCTGTGTGTGACAAATCGTGGTTATTGTAGCTACAAATATAACCGTGTCTATTTCGTGGATATTAGCCATAAACTTTGTTATAGCAATGTCGTGGTTATAGATCCACAAATAGCTACGAGCCGGAAATAGTTACAAGCCTATAGCTACGAATTTGAGTTGTGTCTGTTCGTGGCTAAGCGCAAAATAGCCACAAAATTATGACCATAATTACAATTAATTTTGTGGCTATTAACAGTTTTTCTTGTAGTGTTCCATAGCCAAAACA